GTTAACTGAATCAAAACGCTTGTATGGCCTCAAAGAATAAAAACATTGGAACTGCTGAGAACAAATAAGGAATTGCCTGGTCTTTGGAGGCTAAATACAGTGTTAATTAAGTCAATTGGACACGTCATGGGAACTCTGTAAATTAGATTAATCTTCTATTTTGGTTGTCAGTCAGGTCAAGTTCAAAAGGCCAGGCTAGGTAGAACATCAAAACAGTGAAGATTATACCGGTTAGCATCAGTGTTATGAGGCTAAATGTGATTCTATAACCAGACGGAAAGTAGAAAATAAAACATGATGTCCAAACATTAAAATGTAGGCTACTTTAATGCCGTAGTACAACTTTGTCAAAGATTTGTTCATGCAATGAAGCTAAACATTTAATAATGCAGGAACAGGAGATGAGTTATAACAGACTGTAATATATTGGTTACATTTTATTTTAAGGTGTCCTTGTTACAGTGTAATTAATACTGAGTGATATTAATTAACTACATGTACTTACTTAGGGTTAGGATTAACTTGCGTGTAATTATGCATAATTAATAGTTATTATAATAGTAAGTACATGTGTAACAAGGACACCTTACAATAAAGTGTTACTGATCATTTAAGTCCGTGTTACTTATTACTTGTATTTTAAAATTTACTTTGGCACTTTTAGATAAGAGGCTTTTTAGAAAATGATCTCATTCAGACAAGATTCAGTACATCGTAACAATGCCAACAATCGATTTCACTAGTGTCTACGAAACATTAATGTCGTTAGTTTCAATGCAGCCACACTCTTTGAGCTTCTTCTTGGCTCTCAGGATGAAGTTAACCTTCCCTCTGTTCTTCGTGTTGGAACTGTATTCATGAGACTTCAGTTTGGCGTAGTAATCGGAGAACTTATTGAAGAGGATGGAGATTGGAAGGCCATTCAGAATGATCCCAAAGGAAATGCAGCCAAAGGCAAATATCCGCCCCAAAAGAGTCTCCGGATACATGTCACCATAGCCTACAGTAGAGATGCTAACCTGGAACGAGAAATTAATGGTAAACTGATAAAAATAATAATTCTGTCATTATTTACCCTACCTCATGTGTCTTTCCCAAACCCCTATGAGTTTCGTTCTTACATAGAAAACCAAAAGAGGGGTTTAGCAGATGAAAGTGTATGGAGACCGTATGTGGTAAAGCACAAAAACGACTTGAAAACTTCATAAAAGTAGTTTAAAAAATACTTTTTCTAAGAATAATATATGTATAATAGCTTTGTGTGAGAAACTTGACAATTCACTGAAACTCTTGTTTGACAAATATGTCCACCATTCACTTTCATTGTTTTGGAAAAGAGCAGCTTGGACATTGTGCTAAAGAGTACAACAGTTCCCAGTTAGTGGTCTTGAAAGTATTTTTTCCATTAATTCTTCCCATAGGGATTTTTAAAAGTCTTTGTTAAGGGGTTATAAGCCATGAACCAAACCAACCAGCTAAGACGTGTATCAGAACATTGCAAACTTTGATTTGAAGCAAATTGGACAAAAACACAAAAGTACAAAACTGTATTTAACTGCTTTAATGAGGGAAAGAACTATAATCCCAGTAAGCATTGCGAATGATACAATCAAACAATTGAATGTAAAAAATCAGCATATTGGAAAAAATCATGTGACACTGAGTATATATTTAAACGATGTATTTTATATTGCAAAATATGCATATTATGCATACAAATATTTAAATAATTTTAGAGCGTAGGGATACTGACTTAATTGCACCAATTGCAATCCTTCATGCAAGTGGGCAGTTCTTTTGATTGCTAGAGATTTCTCTGCAGTATTATGGGTAATGTAGTTTTTACCGGGAATTCTGCTAAATCTGATTATTTAAAAAAACTATTGGTCTAATGCAGACTAATGGCTTCATAAAAAGCATATACCATCCATTAACAACCTTGTAGCTCATAGTAAGTCTGTCTTAAAGGTTTGAAATCAATTCAAAATCAATTTCCCTATCTATCTTATTATTCCCGTAAGAAGGTACATTTTATGGGTCTGGCTTCCGGTCTCACCCGCGTCCAGCTATTTTTAGTTTTCCTGCTTGATATTGCAAATTGGTGTTTCTTACCATATTACATATACATTATTTTAATGTATTATCTTAATTATGAACACTCTGGTTTAAAGTGCAAGCAGTTTTACAGTTTACTGCACATTGTAATTCTTCTCGTTATTTCCCTATAGCGGCTAATGAACCGGAAGTGTTGAAGAATAAGGTGGATAGAGAAAAGGAATGGCATTTTACTTTCAGAACCTGACTGTTGCATTCTATAAATATCACCTTTTGTGTTTTCTACAGAAAAAAACAAAATAATACTGGTTTTGAAAGACATGGGGGTGAGTAATTGAATTATATTCAACATCAACTATCTCATATCTGCATGATTAATAGAAATAATGTTTACTTACAGATGCCCACCACCAAGAATGTGGCATACTGGTGAACTTGGTTTGAGGGACGTCGTGTTCAACGGTATAAACCATGGCGGAGAATGTGAAGATCCCCATGGCGATAAAGAGGAAGAGACATCCCACCTGCTGATAGCACTGCCTCAACGTGAAGCCAAACGCTCTGAGCCCCGTCGAGTGACGCGCCAGTTTCAGAACACGAAAAATACGCATGAGTCGCATGATTCGTAACACTTGTCCCACCTTGCTCATCTGACCAACAGTCTCCATGTCAGTGGTTTGTGTCCCAGAATTGAAGGTCTCAAAGCTTTCGAGCACGAACTGGAGAAGCTGCGGTAGGATGGCAATGAGGTCAACCGCGTTCAGCATGCTTTTAACAAAGCAACCGATATCTGGGTTTGAAACTAGACGCAGCAGGTACTCAGCGGTGAAGAAGGTTATGCACAGTGTCTCTATGAACTCTCCAAATGTCTTTCTGCTAAACTCATTAGATGCCATGTTCTCCATTTCTTCTACCGTAGTCAAAGTCATTGTAACCAGCGACACCAGCACAAACATACTCGAGGCGACCGCCATTAGTTTCGCCGGTACTGAGGAGAACGGTTTCTCCATGAAGTTCCAAAGCGAGCGTCTCGTCTCGCCGAGGAACATGTCATTGAACTCCTCCTCATTTTCTTCGACATCCACCTCCGCCTCCAGTTCCTTCTGAACCTTGAGCTGTTCGCACAACTCGTCGTGTTTCTCCTCAAGAAGGATCCTACAGCACCGTTGCGAGTATTTGATCCGAACACCCCAATAATTGATCTCCTCTAAGAAGTTCCTTGGACAAAACTCGTCCTTGATCCACAGCACGCCGGTTCTGTAAAAGTTGAAGATGCTGTTGAAGACGTCTGGATCTCGGTCGAAGAAATACTCATTGTCCTTCACCACATAGTCGTCGCAGAGGTTCAGCTTCATGTTGAGGTCCGTATAGGTGGCTAAACGGCCGATTCTGCTCTGTGGGTATCTTGCTGCCATTTTATAGGTGATGCGGTAGGACTTTCCACCAACGTTGAGGTTGAGCATGCAATTCCTGCTGGGTGAGGCGCTTGTAAACCACATTGTTGGTTCCGAATACTTCTCAACCTCCTCATCTTCACCAAAGATGTCATAGATATCTGTCTGTAGTTCGCCTGAAGAGCTCCACTGTTTCAGCAAACACTGTTTAGCGAACGGAACCACATCATCTGTTGACTCAGAGGTTGCTAGTTTGCAGTTGGGAAAGAGGCTCTGTCTCCTGTTTCTCTGAAAGTTGAACATCCTTTCAGACCTCAGCTATCCTCCTCGAGGAGGATAGCTAGTGTACCATACGCCTGTAAATCTCAGCGCTTTACTGAGGTTAAATCTACCCTATTTAAGTATAAAGAGGCAAGCAGGAGGCAGCGCCAGAGCTCTAATGCTCTCTATAAGGAGCTGAGTTCAAATTAAATGTCATTATCCTTTAAGCTTTTGCTTGATAGTGACGTCTGCTTTGCGTTCTTTGAAATGGCATGCTTGCCATGTGTCAATGAATGAATGTTCTTACCAAGTTACGGATGAGTTTAAGACCCCCTTCAACACCCAAATGCTTATTCGTAAACTCATTCTAAACTAAAGGCTCTTTAGCTACAGTAGTTAGGGATAGGGCACCGTATTTACTAGAGGATAATGAGAGTAACATTTAAACAAGCAGCCAAACAGATGTAGGAATTAGCGGACGTGAAGGAATTCATGAATGAAACTAAGAAACTAGATATTTTCTACATATACATAGTTTGGAAAAATTAAGATATTTTATGATTGATCAAAAAATACAATTCAAAAAACTGTTTTCTATTTAAATACATTTAAATAAATAATATATTCTTGTGTTGCAAAGCTGAATTGGTAGCATCGTTACTCCAGTCTTCAGTGCCACACGATCCTTTAGAAATCAATTACATGCATTTTTAATAATTTAGCACCACTTATAATTGACACCAAATCATGTAAATATATCATATATATATATTTCTTTGAATAATGCATGCAGTGTGTTTATCTACCTTCAAAATCAAAACGAATTCAAATGGGCATGAATCAAGCTTTGTAAACAATGGAAAGAGCAGGACAGATAATGCCAGACAAAGTCACTTAAGGTAACCTTAAGGGTCACTAAGACCTTTAAGTTAGCTTTCAGTTAAAACCCGATCTTATGAGAAAACGTACCTATTTTACGATGTGGAGATTTAGTATGAATTTGTAGAAACGCAGCATTTTTTAGAAAAAATTAAGCATGAAAATCCACCCTTAACCCCACCCCTATAAATTTATACAAATTAGCTAGTAATTCACCAAAATTGTTACGAATTGTCAAGAGAGTGTGTTGTTAAGTTCAGTGACTCAGGTAATTATTCCTGTTAAATGTATAAGTGGTATTTTTGGCATGTGCTTATAACGCTATGATGTTTATGCCTTTTCTCCTTACAGTTATCTATTATTCTTTGAAAAAAAAAAGTAAAGAATGAAAGAATAAATATTTATTCAGTAACTTGCATTATATTGGCCTCTGTTAGATTATCACTTCTTTAGAAATAATCTATGTACACTCTTTTTTTACATAATATTATATTTTACGTGTATTATATCTCTTTATATCGCAAAACAGTTTTTCCCACATAAAAGCAGCACAGGATGCAAGATAGAATCGATACACAAAATAATCCTGTACATAACAAATGCTAGTGCAATCAAACATGTCCACATGTCTCCAGATCTCAAGGGCATCTGTGAAAAAACAATCAAACTGAGCATGTTAGCTAGTTTTACAACATCACGTTCACAAGCAGTACTTAACAAATCATGCTTTCAGATGTAACATTAATATACTTATACATGCTCAGTGGTTTATAGACTCTTAAACGCTTAAACTCACAGTAGTTCAGATTAAGCAATAATTTAGGGAAAGACAATGGGCAAGTTTATAATCTTAGCTGCGCCATCTGTCACTGTGGTCATGACAAGACCCCCAAAATGGGCCGGTTTGGCAGTTTGCAGGTCACGTAATATTTTTTTTTTTTATAAATATATATATAAATACACACACATGCATGCATATATTTAAGAAAAATATTATTAAATATATTTATTTATATATAATATAAATTATATAAATATATACATGTATATATTTTCAAAATATATACTTTGTGTGTGTATTAATATATATGCATAATAAATATACACAGAACACACACATATATTATGTAAACAAAAACTTTTATTTTGGATGCGATTAATCGCGATTAATCGTTTGACAGCACTAATTAATACATTTTTTAATTAATGATAATTATTTTTATAGTAATAATAATAATTTAGGTTTTAAACTAGATGCTTGACTGCTTGGCTGAGATATAAGCCTTGTGACAACTTTCTTCATATTTTCGTTTCTTTAGGACTACACATGATCAAGTACATTTTACCTTAGGTGAACTATTTTATAAAATATTATATATAATATATTTAAAATATAAATAGTTATAATAAAAAAAATTATATATATATATATACATTTTATAAAATATAATATACTATAGATTTTATATATAAAGTTTTATATATTTTATATTACTTGTAGCCTAATATATCTTCTTCCTTCTTGTAATTCAATGTAAATGAAGGACTTTTAAATAAAGTTTTCTAGCATTTAAGTGAAACATGGCTGCCACGCAAGTTGGATGTGAGCATTACGTTCGCAGCTGTTTGTTAAAAGTGAGCGACATTTAATTACATGTAGACTTTGTGTTTCGCATATGCTCGCCGCTGTCAAATAGTTAGCATGATTGTTTTGGTAAATGCTTGCTTGGTCGCACGGGAGCGTGTGATTGAAGCGATGCTAATTAGCATACTAGCTAACTGTAGGGAATGTACATCACTGAAGGCCTATTGCCAGGTTTTTATGTTTAATATAAGATTATTGTATGAACTAGAATCTAATTATTGTTGGCTTAAGGCAACAAATTCGATATGCTAGTTTAGACTCGTTGCTCTGCTCGTTAGAGGCAAAAAATAGACCGTTTAGGGCTTTGTTATGGTTTTGTTCCTGCAGCATGTTGATGTCAGTGATGTTCTGGCTGTAACATGGAAGCACTTAGTTACAGTGGAGCTACTAACTGGACTTTTGCATGTGCAATTGTGCATTGATCTGCAGTGAAATGTGTTTGTGGTCTGTCTCTCTCTGTAGGCGCCCTGCTGTGGGAAGTTTTATGTTTGCAGACTCTGTCATGATGGTGAAGAGAACCATCAAATGGACCGATTTAAGGTCCGAGAGGTCAAATGCGCAGCATGCAATTCTATACAAGAGGTGAAGTCATATTTAAGCTATTTAAGTTCTAAAAAAAATATATATATAGGCTTTGCTTGGATGAATCTCACACAACCTGTAATATGTCTGGGTAATATTTTAGGGTGATAATAAGCAATAAAAAAAAAGAACAAATGCATTGTGATATGTATTTCCAAGAAATAATAATAATAATTTTGTATATATATAATAATTATTTATACATCATAGTGGTATTTGTTGTAAAAAAAAAAAAAATCATGGGTCATTAAAGTGTCAAAATGCAACAAATTGTAAATATAGTCATTTTCTTAATGTAGAATAAAAAAAAATCTGTACTTTTCAGCTCTGGTAACATTTAAAGCTCTTGTGCATTCTGTGTTCTTCAGTCTCAACAGATATGTAAAGAATGTGAAGTGAAGTTTGGGGAGTATTACTGTGACATTTGCCATCTCTTTGATAAAGACAAGAAGCAGTACCACTGCCAGCCCTGCGGGATATGCAGGTTTGCATGACATTTACGTTTATTCATTTAGCACACGCTTTCATGCAAAACAACGTACAAATTAGAAGGGTCTTCATTATTAAACCGAAGCAAATTTTTGTAAGATTTTCATTGACCTCCTCCGTTACCTTTAGAATTGGCCCAAGAGAGAAATACTTCCATTGTACGAAGTGCAATCTATGTTTAGCAACTGATCTTAAAGACAATCACAAGGTATGAAAAGTGTTCTCCTGATTCTTGAAAGTTACCTGCTCATTTTGTTGTTAGTAGTGAAATATTAATCAGTGCTTGCTGTTTCAGTGTGTTGAGAATGTCTCTAGGCAGAACTGCCCTGTATGTATGGAGGACATCCACACGTCCAGAATAGGGGCTCATGTGCTCCCCTGCGGTCATCTGCTACACAGGTGAGTGCTTGATTGTGCTAGAAATAACAAATAACACACTCGTTGTATCCACTACTAGTTAACCGCTTCAACACATTTGACTAAATGTATTTGACTATCATTATATGACAATTTTAAAAATGTCTGGGTTTTTGCTTAATTCAGCCTTTCACAAATTAAAGGGTTAGTTCACCCAAAAATTAAAATTAGCCCATGTTTTACTCACCCTCAAGGCATCCTAGGTGTATATGACTTTCAGACGAATCCAGTTGGAGTTATATTAAAAATGGTCCTTGCTCTTCCAAGCCCTATAATGGCAGTGGGTGGGTGTTTTTTTCAACAGGTCAAAAGTAGTCAAATAAAGCGCATCCATCCATAATAAAACGTGCCTCACACGGCTCCGGGGGGTGAATAAAGGCCTCCTGTAGCGAATCGATGCGTTTTTGTAAGAAAAATATCCATATTTAAAATGTTATAAACTTTTCTCTCGCAGCCGTTCCGGCCCTGACACATGTATTATCAAATGAATGTGATTTAATGTAAAAACGCTTTCTTTTTTGCTTGCAGAACATGCTTTGAGGACATGTTCAGAACTGGGTAAGGAGTGATGTTTTTTTGCGACTACTGCATTGTTTTCTAATGACTTCTGCATAGATTCATACTAGGGCTGAAACTGAAATTCAGAATCTCTTAACTGACGTAATTTTCCCATGTCGGTTATTTCGTTTTTTTAATCCTATTAATACTTTCCCCTTGAAAACATACTACCATGTGTGTACAGTAGTAGGCGCTATACGGACACGTTGTGCTTGTGTCTTTTGCAACTTCTCGCGCAGCGCCGCTCATCAATGTCAGTTCCAGAACAGTGGACCAATCAGAAGACCCCAGAGGCGGGGCAAGCATTGCAAGCTTTTGTTTACAGTAGCAGGTTGGCATGGCAACTTTTGTATTTGACATAGACTGTGGTATTTGATGGCAACACGGCGGAGTAGGCATTCTGCGCTGCACTTTAAAAAAACATTCCTTGAGGTCTGCGTCTCTCGGTTTTAGACACAAAGAAAGACCTGTTCTGTAAGAATGGCCAATAAGAATCTAGAGTAAAAACTTGACAGGACAGGATCGCTGAGATGGTGCCCTACTCTTTCTCTTAATCAGCAGTGTTCCATTTAGATTCATTATTTAAAACATTTGTTTACAGGAGATGCAAGTTATTATTTTCTACTTTTCACATTGCATTATTTAAAATAATATTCATTTACAAGAGATACAAGTTACTTTTTACATGACAATATTTAAAATGTATTTTGTAGGGATGCACGATATATCGGCCACCATATCGGTATTGGCCAAAATTTTCATATCGGTGCATCCCTAGTATTTTGTTTGCAAAAGATACTGGCTATTTTCTACTTTTAACATGGCAATATTCATTTATTTTGTTTGCAAAAATGTACGTTTTGTATATTTTTTTTAAGGAAACTTGCTTTTTTACAATAAAACTGAAATGTGACTTTTTTTTTCATAAGACGTCTTCATTTCAAGCAAGCTTTGATTTTAGTTGTTCGAAATATTTAACAAATAACCATAAATAGTTTGTGTCCTTCAATTATTTTAAAATTACAAAGATAAGAAGTGAACTCTTTCATTAGAAAAAAATATCCCACCTTTTAATATTTGAGTATATTTACAGTACAAACCTTTAATGAACTGTGAGAGCGAAAAAAAATTTAATTAATAAAATTATCGTTCAATAAACGTAATCGAGGTAAAGTGTTCAATTAATTGAGGTTTTGATTTTAGGCCATATCGCCCAGCCCTAATTCATACTGACATTTCCATTAAAGAGATACTCCACCCCAAAATGAAAATGTTGTCATTAATCACTTACCCCCATGTCGTTCCAAACCCGTAAAAGCTTAGTTCGTCTTCGGAACACAATTTAAGATATTTTGGATGATAACCGGGAGGCTTGTGACTGTCCGGTTGACTGCCAAGTAAATTACACTGTCAAGGTCCAGAAAAGTATGAAAGACATCGTCAGAATAGTCCATCGGCCATCAGTGGTTCAGCCGTAACGTTATAAAGCGACGAGAATACTTTTTGTACGCGAAGAAAAAAACCCCGACTTTATTCAACAATTTGTCTCCTGTGTCTCTCCACTTCACTGTAGCGCCATTTATGAGAATATCCGCTGAACGCAAGCAGCGTACGCTATTCTGTGTCAGCCGCGCTGCACGGATCCGATGTTTTCGTTCAAATCAAAGCGTAAATACACATAGAAAACGTATCCTTGTGTCACGGCTGACACATAATAGCGTACGCTGCTTGCGTTCAGTGGATATTCTCATAAATGGCGCTACGGTGAAGTGGAGAGACACAGGAGACAAATTGTTGAATAAAGTCTGGGTTTTTTTCTTCGCGTACAAAAAGTATTCTCGTCGCTTCATAACGTTACGCTTGAACCACTGATGGCCGATGGACTATTCTGATGATGCTTTTCATACTTTTCTGGACCTTGACAGTGTATTTTACTTGGCAGTCAACCGGACAGTCACAAGCCTCCCGGTTATCATCCAAAATATCTTAAATTGTGTTCCGAAGACGAACGAAGCTTTTACGGGTTTGGAACGACATGGGGGTAAGTGATTAATGACAACATTTTCATTTTGGGGTGGAGTATGCCTTTAACTTAAGAAGTATATATATATACTTATACGATAATGTTGTAAAGTTGAGAGATGAGTTTATGTTGTCTGTCCCGCAGTGCTTACCGCTGTCCTCTGTGCATGCATTCGGCCTTCAACATGAAGGAGTTCTGGGAAGAGAGAGATAAGGAAATTGCCCAGACTCCCATGCCCACAGAGTACCAGGACACTACAGTCAAGGTAACAGAGCCGTCATTTACATGTATTCATTTAGCAGACATTTGATCTAAATGAGCATACAAATGAGGAGCATTGCAAACACAAGCAGAAGTGAATGTTCGTTTATGAGTCTGTAAGATGTGCTCATTTCCTGCAGTTGTAAAATGCTGAAGGTTCAGCTCAGATTTGGCAGTATCTACTTTGGTCATTTTGCTGTGAAGGTCACATGCTGTAATGCAGTTTAGGTTGTTTTTTCTGCCATTTGTAAGGTGAATCTCTTGAGTTGTTATTTTAGAACTATTTATATACTATAATTTTTATTCTTAATTTGAATGAGCTTTTTTTGTATTTTCAGTTTTCTTTTTTTTTCTTTTGTCATTTTTAATTAGTTTTTGTTTTTTAAACATTTCTATTTAACTTTATTTTATTTTCAGTTTATTATTGTTTTCTTCAGTTTTAGCAATTTTAGTTCTTTTAACTTTTTAAAATTTTGTTGCCATGGAAACATTTCTAATTTTCATTCGAGCGATCTAAATGAGCATACAAATGAGGAGCATTGCAAACACAAGCAGAAGTGAATGTTCGTTTATGAGTCTGTAAGATGTGCTCATATCCTGCAGTTGTAAAATGCTGAAGGTTCAGCTCAGATTTGGCAGTATCTACTTTGGTCATTTTGCTGTGAAGGTCAGAATGATTATTTTAGCTTACAGCATGTGGCTGCAGTAGTTTAGGTTGTTTTTTCTGCCATTTGTAAGGTGAATCTCTTGAGTTGTTATTTTAGAACTATTTATATACTATAATTTTTATTCTTAATTTGAATGAGCTTTTTTTGTATTTTCAGTTTTCTTTTTTTTTCTTTTGTCATTTTTAATTCGTTTTTGTTTTTTAAACATTTCTATTTAACTTTATTTTATTTTCAGTTTATTATTATTTTCTTCAGTTTTAGCAATTTTAGTTCTTTTAACTTTTTAAAATTTTGTTGCCATGGAAACATTTCTAATTTTCATTCGAGTTTTATGTCAAAATTTGATTTAATTTCAGCTTTATTTCAATGAAGAAAAAAATATAATAGCTTTAGTTGATAATAACAACTCTAGATAATCTCTTAAAACTCTTAAATAACTTTTCCATCATATTTTTTAAATAATTATTTGGTTTTATTTATAGTAGTTATGTTTGTGATTAAACATTGTTTTATTGCATAATAAACTTACACCTATTTGTAAGATCATTATTTTTTGTTTTCATGACAAAACATTTCCTCTAATTCCCCAGTTTTCAATTCTGAAATAAAATTTACATCCTCGCTAATTTTATGCAAAGAAAAAAAATTCTATTATTTTTACCTCATTGTAACATTTGCCTTAGATTTATACTGATTTATTAAAAAACAATAGTTATAGTGCATTTAAAATTATTTAATGCTATTTATTGATTAATGCTGGACATGAAACAAACCCCTTATAGCAGAAATAAACTAAAATGATCACATTGCATATATATATTTTCTTTTTATAATTTTCTTTTAATTTAATTTATTCTTTAAATATTTTTTTCAGAAAAGAATTATATTATTTTTACCTCAAGATTGAATTTGCCTTAAATTTATACTGATTTATTTAAAAAAAAATGTTATAGTACTTGTTACTGTTTTACACAAATTAGAATTAGAACTGAAAATATTGTAAATGGAAAAAAAAAAGTGTGGGTGGGTCAAGATATATAAATGCCCCTAAAGCTGGCTTTATTTATTCAGTTCGTTTCATTTTATTTATTTAAAATATTATTTTAATAATTAAAAATTTTAATAAGGAATTTAGTTTCTTTTTTTCCCTTTGATACAGTGAAATACACTTCGTGTATGTATGTGTTTTTATGTTCACAGATCATATGCAATGACTGCCAGGCTCGCTGCACTGTCTCCTTCCACGTGTTGGGCATGAAATGCAGCTCCTGTGGCTCTTACAACACTGCGCAGGACGGCGGGCTGATCGTGGCCCCTCCTGTAGACGCACGACAGTCTGCAGAGCAGACACTTGAAGAAGAGCCCAACACAGAGCACCACGAGTGACGTTTAGGATCAGAAATCATCTCTCAGTTAAGCTTTTATAGAACACTTATTTATAGAATACAAGCTCTCCTCCCTTCCTGCTCCTCTCTCAAGTCTGTAGAACTGCTCTTATTTTTCTTGCTTTATTAAAAAGGATAAAAACATATTTGAGGCTTCTTTAATTGTACTATTCCACATGCATTTTGTTATAAAGTATGTTAAAGGTAATCCTGTGCTGAGAGGATAAACTTAAACGAATCCTCAATATCTGTCAAAAACATCTTTGGTTTAAATTAAGGAAATTATCCTTAATATAATGTATCAACATGAGCTCTGATATTCATTCAGGGACAGTGGATATCATTTACGAATGTTTGTTCATTTTAAAATTATTTAATGCTATTTATTGATTAATGCTGGACAACAAACAAGCCGTTGTATTACAGAAATAAAATGATCGCATTGCATTGTTTTTTTAAATAGTCTTATATAAAAATAAAAAAAGAGAGAATTGTGGTTCTTATTTTCATGTTTCTCTAAGCTTTTCTTCTAGAAAACCTTCTCGTTTTAATAGAGTTTGAGGTATTGATGATAGACTGGCATTATTGAGAATGACTTTTTTTTTTCTTCCCTCCAAAGTGTACTTCTGTTGAACCTTGCTTTGAAATACAATGGTGGCAAAACTTGATTGCCACCTACGGGGCTCAAACCAGACACAATTCAGACACCACCCCTGATCATGAACCATTAGATTGCACCACGCTGATATTATACACCTATAATAACATCTGCAGTTACTGGGTTATGGGTTATTTGTGACCTCCACATGTTTAGTCTTGTGTTTAGCCGACAGCAGTAAATGGTAAGCTCACCATCGCTGAAAGGGCTGTGAAATGTGGTCTTTACGGTACTGTTCTGCTTCTGGAATTCAGATACACATGTGGTAACCAAATGAGAAGGGATGGATTTATACTTTATAACGGCTATGGTCAGCTCTTACAGTGAACTAGCAGTTGTTAAGCAGTTGAAATCTGTAGTATCTGAGTGAACAAGATTATGTTGTGAGCAGGGGCGTAGCACCAAATGTTCTGTGTTCTGTGTAAATGTTTTCCAGCTGAGTGTTTAAGCACGTTCACAGAAAGCGAAACAGAACCGTGCATATTTATATATGACTTAATAAAATTTACGTTTGGTGTCAAATCTTGGATATGTTTATGTTCCTTTTCTCTGTAATTTCACATAAGCAGTTTTTGACGGAAGTCAGACAGACACTGAAGAGATCAAATGGTTACCAAAAAATGGACTTGTTAATTCCAGTAAACATGTTTGGTTTACCACGGGGTGGTTGGCTGAGCTTAATTGAAAGCACACCGAGGGGCTCAACCTATCGTTTGTTTTGAATCTAGTCATTGTGAACTCTTATGGGGAAGATGAATTGATCTAAAACCCTCAAATGTTTTTATAACAAAACACATTAATCATGACAGTGGTGAAAACATGATCATAACAGAAACAGCCTACAGCAGAGATTCCAGTCAGAGCACAAAAACACAGCAGGGAAACTAGTCAAATCTTTATTTTTAAATCAACAAAGCACAAACTGGAAATAAAACCACAAACCGAAAACTGGAGATACTTTAAAGGTATAGTCGGGGTCGCCGTGATTTTGCCAAGTAAGACATGTTCCTGGATCAACATCTTTTGTTGTTGATCCTGGATCAACATTACTGTCCAAAAATATAGACTTAACCCAATCCCTACCCCTAAACCTAACCTTACCCATAATTTATTCCTAAAAACAGTATGAAATGATAGCTGATTAACAAGGGTGTAGAAGCACCTAACCCTGATCGTAAGATTGAGATGCACCTGTAAATACTACTAAAGAGCCAATATGCTAGTATTACGCATTCTAATAAGAAACTAAAGTTTTACCATTATTAACTTCAACGTTAGTTCAACTACATTTAAAAGTAATTCAATTTTAAACTTAGAATATTAGTTACATAAAATAATGTAATATTATATGCATTTAATCTCAATTTTAAATCAGTTACATTTTATCTGTTGTGATTGTGAAACTCACCTTACATAAAGGTGAACCCACTGGGAAGACAAGGGTGATGCTTAAAAGGCCGGCAAAAATTTGGAGGATTCATCCCATTTTCAAAAATAGATTTTAAATGGGCAAAATTCAAAAAAATAAAAAATCAAAATTGACAAATTATGAATTGTTGCCTTGAGATGCCACAGACCTTCTCTAGTGTTGTACCTTCCTTTGTACTCTTTAAATTGCATAAAATATGCATTAAACCTCTGTTGCGTTAATTGCGGTCATATTGTAGGGGGGGGCCAAAGTTTTCCCAAGTAGCCACCTCTAACTTTCTTCCCAAATTGTTGTGGTCCAGAGCATCATTTCACAACAGGTTTCTTAATTGACTTTAATCCTTCATTGTGACAGGTATACAATGTGGTGCTGTGGCGAAATCAATTTCTGCAGTACTTGTGATAAACCAAGATATCATCATTAATTTTTATATTTTGCCTTTAGACTAATTGAATAAACTGAATGATAGTTATGAAGCAGTTTGTTTACAGATGGTTCATAAGGTAATTGCACAAACTACACTGAATTTGACTTTTCAAAATGCAACATGACTTTATTTCAAAGAAACCAAGATGCTACAGTTGAAGCTAGTCAACAGACGTTACCACATTTTCCTAAAGACAGAAAAAAAGAAAAAATTTGTCAAATCAAGTTACTTCAAAACCTCATCAAGGATTTTCACAGCAAATATTACACCATCTTTGCTAATGGGCACTTTTTAGTTAACCCAAACATTTGTTTTTATTTTTATAATTCACTCACCCTCAGGCCATCCAAGATGTAGATGAGTTTCTTCTTTAGAACAGATTTGGAGAAATGTAGCATTCCATCACTTGCTCACCAGTGGATCCTCTGCAGTGAATGGGTGCCGTCAGAATACGAGTCCAAACAGTGGATAAAAACGTCACAATAATCCACACCACTCCAGTCCATCAGTTAACATCTGGTGAAGTGAAAAGCGGCATGTTTGTAAGAAACAAATCCATTGATGCGTTTTAACTTTAAACCATTGATCATATTCAAAATACGAGTCCATAATAATGCTTCTTCCAGTGAAAAAGTCCACCCCCTATTGTCCTCTTACATCAAAATTCACTGACATACTTAAAACGATTTTGAACCATTTTCGCTTGTAAACCTGCTTGATCTGTGCATATTTCTCTCCCGATTCAACAACTTTTTTTTTTAATCATGATTTTTTGACTCATATTTCAGCTGGAAGCAGTAGTTTGAAGTTATTGATGGACTTGTTCCTTTGTTTCATGCAATTTTTCACTTCACCAGATGTTAATTGATGGACTGGAGTGGTGTGGATTATTGTGATGTTTTTATCAGCTGTTTGGACTCATTCTGACGGCACCCATTCACTGCAGAGCATCCATTGGTGAACAAGTGATGGAATGCTACATTTCTCCAAATCTGTTCCGATGAAGAAAAATGTGTCTTGGATGGCCTGAGGGTGAGTCAATTTTCTGCAAGATTTCATTTTGGGTCAATTATTCCTTTAATATCACCATTCTCTTATTTCATACCTCGGAGAATTCAGTGTCTTTTCCATTAGGTTTTGCTGAAGAGGTCTCTCGTCTTGTCTCGATTTCCTTCATGCCCGTTTCCTGCACATCCACAGTCCGTGCTGCTTGCCTAAACACAAACAGTTTATTCGTCATAAAAAGTTGGATTTTAACCATCATAAATAAAAGTCAGCAGATTATGGTGTACCTCTGGTTTGTGGCTTTTTTCTTCTGAATGATGCCGACGGTGACCCCCATGACAACCACAGCGGCACACAGCCCAACTACTCCGTACAGAAGCGGCCCCTGTGAGAGCCCACTCGAATGTTCCTGACAGTGCTCTCCACTGTAACCCGTCTCACAGACGCACACGGTCACTCCATTCTGGGTTGTGCATTTACCGTTGCCGTTACACAGCGTAACACCACACGCCTCAGACTCAATGTTCTCTGGTATGACATTATCACTCAAACCTGGACGAAACGCTTTAGGATTGATCCGGACATTTTTATGTTGTGTATCTTGAACACCTGAGAATTCAGAAGAGAAGGACATGCCCATTATATGGATCCGGTTTAATCTTGTTGAATGAATCTAATGAAATCATGTCTGGGTCATTTTGTACTCTGGGGACTTATGTAGATATGTAATTAAAAAAATAATTGCGTGTTTTCATTGAATAAAATTATTTAAATAAACAACAAAATTAAGGTTGTTTGCAAAATGTAATTTCCAATTTTTCTCTTTGGATTCTGTATGTTTATGGGTGTTTATTTATGCTATAATATTTGTGATGTATTACAGTTATCAAGACCAAGCAAAAAAAATATATAATTATCATAAAGAAACGTAATTCTCCAAGGTGTCCCAAAATAAAATTACGCCTATTTTTAGGACCATTAAGAATATTTGCATTATGCAAAATTACATTTTCCTATTTTATTATTTGATTTTGGAGTAAAAATGGACCTGCATATGTTCTTCACTGCAAATATCCCCCCCAATAACAGCTACCTACAACAGAATAATCCATGTTATCAACAAAATTAAGGTTGTTTGCAAAATGTAATTTCCAATTTTTCTCTTTGGATTCTGTATGTTTATGGGTGTTTATTTATGCTATAATATTTGTGATGTATTACAGTTATCAAGACCAAGCAAAAAAATATATAATTATCATAAAGAAACGTAATTCTCCAAGGTGTCCCAAAATAAAATTACGCCTATTTTTAGGACCATTAAGAATATTTGCATTATGCAAAATTACATTTTCCTATTTTATTATTTGATTTTGGAGTAAAAATGGACCTGCATATGTTCTTCACAGTGCAAATATACACCCCAATAACAGCTACCCACAACAGAATAATCCATGTTATTAGTAAAGCCAACTTATTCCTCCCTAAAACATTTTTACATTTAAACCAGAAGGTTAGGATTTGACATTTCCTCACAGTTCTCATCAGAATGATCTGGACAGTCGGCGACGCCGTTGCAGAACTGCTCCAGAGGTAGACAGATGTCTTCACTCAGGCAAGGTTTGGTGCCTCCAGGGCAGCGGGGGTCCGGACTGCAGTCTCTGCCGTTGACCAGGCGGTGAGTATGGGCACAGTGGCACGTCATTCCTCCAGGGAACGCAAGACAGAGGTGACTGCAGCCTCCATTACCATTAGAGCAGAGATTAGTGCCTGAAATATGAAATGGACTAATTAATGCTTCATAATTTACATAAATGTGATTACGTAATTATTTCCTCACCTTTTTGTCTTGACTTTGCGAAAGCTTTCAGACTGACGATGTCGGCGTCCACTTCAAACCACAGCTTCCCTGTATGCTCAACATCACTAAACCAACACTTAGTGGAGTCTAAACAATGGACAGATTATTAGGTAAAAATCATCTTAAAATGGTATGACCTGGTTTTTCCCCACAGAAGAGCACAACTTCTCCATACAAAAGTACCTTTTTTAGTAATCCAAACAAGAACTTTGTTAACCAAAGCAAATGCCATTAAGCCTTCTTCTGTCTTTATTTCCTTGTATCCAGAACCATCTATGGCAACTGAACCAATTACTGCAAGACCTAGAGAAAAGATCAGTAAACATACATATACACACACACATACAATGTGGTCAAATATAGTAAAATATTATCGTTTATTATATAGTTTAAAATAACTATTTTCTACTTTATTCATGTCTTCAGAAATCATTCTAATATGCTGATTTTTAGCTCATTATTAATAATGTAATTATTATCAGTGTTGAAAATGTTTTTGCTTTTTGTGGATTGGGTTTCTTACCCCAAAGTCCTGAGTGGTAGTGCATCACGAGCACAACAGTTTTCAACATTGATAAATAAATGTTTGAGCAGCAAATCAGCATATTAGAATGATTTCTGATGAATCATGTGACACTGAAGACCGGAGTAATGCTGAAAATTTAGCTTTGCATCATAGGAATAAATTACATTTTATATATTCAATAAAATATTCTAATAATATTTTACAGTATTGCTGTTTTTACTGTATTTTCCATCAAATAAATGCCGCTTTGGTGAGCATATGAATGTATATAAAACATACCAGTGTCAGCCCAGTACAGTTTATTCCCTTCATCTGTAAAGATCAGTGAAGTTGGCCGAACTGAATTATTCCACACCACTGTCCTGTTCTGTCCATTCATATAGGCACACTCCACCTGGGTCATATGACCTTCCTGGACTTTGTTTGAGAAGCAGAGGCGTCCGCTGGGTGGGTCTAAAGCAATGGATGCAATAGCTCTGACACCGTCCTGTATTATCACACTGGTGTGTGCACCATCCGGTGAGGTGACCTGCAGGCCAGGCAGCTTCTCGCTGCTCCAGTACACGTTCAGGGTGATCCAGTCCACTGAGAACGTGCGCAGCGAGTCCTTATGTAGCTGGAGCAGTTTCCCACGAGGCACCAGCACGGTGTCCTTCATCTTGAAGAGCCCCACGACGGGCTGCCCGCCATCGGACACGTACAGAGTGAGGTCGCGCAGCACTAAATCTAACAAGGTTGGCTTGTTCATGCTGGGAAGGTCAAAACGCCATTGTTCAGGCCAGTTCTTTAGGTCCACGGGGGCGTGTCTGTTCTGTAAATAAATCTGAGACACAAATTGTATTTAAAAAAATAAAAATAAAATAAAAAAAAAAGTCTAATACACTTACGCACCACATTAGTGCTGTCAAACAATTAATCACGATTAATGGGATCCAAAATAAAACTGGTTTACATATGATCAGTTTCTATTTATTTGCAGCGTTGAGCAATGTAGCTAATTAGACATATCCGCTTATTTCTTGAATGCAACAGTGGATCGGTTAGAAATTAGAGTTTTTGTTCAGGTGGTCTGTTCAGCACAAATCATTTCATTATAACTAGATGCGATGTAAATGAGTCATTGTGCAGCATAGAGAATTTAATTGATCACATAACTTCGTGAGATCGCAAGTGATAAAGAAAGCATTATTTGCACTAAGCATTTTAATAAATTGTTAAAAAAAATCTTTTGTTGGTCCCGAAACACCACAACCCTAATCCTATTTCTGACCTTATGCTAGAATCAAAAGAGAAAATGTTTGAATTGTCATTTCTTGATTAAGCATTGCATAGTCTAATCTTAAAATAAATGACATGAACTGCACTATTATGAATTAGTCAATTATAATTCTAACATCTAGCTTTGACCATAAGGTATTAACAGCAACACCTGTGTGACTGCAGTTGGAGAAAGAAACAGCAGGAAGGACGAGTCTTTGTGTTTGGAGCAGGTCAGTCCATCTTCATCCAGCAGCAACTGAGACGGACACTTGCACACAGCCTTCAGCCCCGGGGATAAAACACACAGGTGAGAGCAGTGCTGGGAAGCACATGGGTTAGGGATGCCCACTTGGAAAAGTGCATGAATGACCTGCAGATGCACACAAGCAGCAGTTACCCAATTTACATCTTATGCATCTTTCAAAGCAAGCAAATATAGCCTGTACTTTACAAATGTCTGAGGGGTTTCATTTGAATTTAATGATCACAGTGTTCAGGAGTACTTGCCGTCAAACCGAACGGCTGTCCAGGACGTTTGAGCAGGACTTGGTGTAATTTGCCCGTGATTTTGTGAGCTCTCTGAATGGTTCCTCTTTTGGTATCAGACCAGTAGACCTCATCATTGAATACAGACACTGAGAATGGACTGGGGGTCTCCATCATCTGCAAGAGCTGCGGAATTATGGAAGATGGAAAGGGAAAATGTCCGAAATGTTTTTAAAAGATGCTGGAATCTAAATAATTTTTAACTCTTAGATCCTTTTCATTTCATTAAAGACCCATATCTATCCAGTGGTGGACAGTACTTAAAGGGATAGCTCACCCAAAATGAAGGGGGGGGGGATACTATGCAAGTCAGTGGCTACCATCAACTGTTTGGTTACCCACATTCTTCAAACCCACAAAACTGAAAAGGAGTAATTCAAATTTGATTAGGGAGTCTGTACTCAGGTAATTGATTTGTGTACTTCATCCACCACTCCATCTAAAAGACTCTTAACATTAGACTGATGGACAGGAATGTTTATCCAGAAACATTCTACAAGGAAAGCAACAACAAACAGATTAGCAGATCATGTAATGTTTCGCCCTATTAGACATTTTCTAAGATGCTGAGGTGGACACATCCACTACCTTAATATCTCCTCCATCAGTATCGGCTGATCCGATGCACTTGAGTTTCTCATCTGTCCAGTAGATTCTGTGATGCAGGGAGTCCACCGTCAAACTGACCGGCCATCGGAGAGAGTGACTGACCAGCACACGTCTGTCTGAGCCGTCCATTCCTGCTTTTTCTATTTGAGCCTCGTCCCCAGTTTCTGACCAGAACATAATTCTGAAAGAAAGACAAATATCAGGGCCAACTTACATCGTAAGTAACATGCTAAAACAGTGATTCTCATGCTTTGTAGTGCCCACTGGTGGCTCTGTAAATAAAAAAAAGTGACAAAAGCATGATTATTCAAACCCTTCCTGTGGCAGCAGAGCGATGGAGCGGAGCTGCCCTAGATCTTCACCCAGGATCACCACACGTCCTGTGGTTCTGGTGGAATCACTGTCCAGTCCCACTGCATTGATCTGGCTGTTGACGCTATCGGCCCAGTAGAGGTTCCTCGCCACCCAGTCCACTGCCAGACTGTCTGCATTGACACCTGACACACAGACAGACACCGTTACAGGTCATTCCCAATTCTGTGATGTCAAAACTTTAATACATCAACGCATGACCAGCCTTATTTACACCAGTTTTGTTTCTGCAACATGACCGGTCTAGTCATGGTCAGGCAGTATGTAAAATCAAATTTTATAAAGTGCTTATACAATACAGACGGTTTCAAAGCAGCAATTTCATTGGTAAAGCAGCTCTAAAAAGACAATAGTGTCATTATTCAGCTCAATGCGGTTTCAGTTCCATACAGTAACAGTAATAATGTTGTAAAGTTCATCAAGCATAAAACAATTTTAATTTATATTTGTATTTAAGTTTTTTTTATTTTAGTTAAAAATTGTGATTTTTAATTTAGTTGCCAATTAAATATTTCTAAATTTGATTTTTTTACATTTAAATTTATTATGTAATATTTATATTGTATATTTTATTTAATTTCATTTACAAAAAACGATTTTAATATACATACACACGTGTATGTATTTGTATACATGTTTATGTACTTGTAGTTAACAACAACACTGACCTTTAATAAAGGTTCCTTTGCTCTTCTGATCCAATGACAACCATTTTATGTTGTCAGCGTTGAGGTTGATCCAGTACACTCTCTGCTTCTGCCAGTCATAGTCAAGTGACAGGACAAAATGCTTCTCTGACGAGAGCAGGACGTCCAGACTGGAGCTCCTCAGACCCAGCAGGAAGACCTCAGACTGCACAGACGCCAGCAGGTACGGCTCACCTGAGACAGGAGCACAACTTACAATTAGAGTCTCAGCTTGAGTAAAGGGTGAATGGATGTACCTTGAAGTGCATGAGTGTATTAGATTATAATGTGTATTCAAGCCATACTCATCTGAACACACATGTGAAATATTCTAGCCCACAATGCAATGCACTTTTTTTGAATGAATGACGCATTTATATAGCATACTACATTTTGTTGCCTAATGAATACACTTACCATTTTTATAAAAGATTGTATACGGCTCCGTTTGCATGCCATTCTGAACATGGCCTATGTTTTATATATTTGCTCTTGCTCGTATATACCTGTGATTTTGCAACTGTGGCCATCAGGTTCCAGAACATAACCGTGACTACATGAGCACTCAAATGAGCCCTGAGTGTTGTTACAGTAGTGTGAACAGAAGTCTGGACGGTCCACACACTCATCCACATCAACACACACCACCCCATCATCCACAGGCTTGTAGCCCATCCTGCACCAACAGCGCTATAGAAAGAAGAAAAGCAGTGGACAGGAAGCACAAAATGGTAAGAAACTGCCTATTAATTAATTGCTTATTAATAAAAGGCCAAGCACCAAAGTGAGAGGTTGTATCTGATATTGGTGTACTATACAGAAACGAAGGTTATTTACATAATGTCTACAGTATGTTTACATAGTGGCTACTGCCACCAACTGGTCAACATTGATTAAATGCTTTTCATTTATGCCTTTTAGAGTCATTGAGGTCATGAAAAATCCAGCTTTACCATCACTGTAATACATTATATTTTAAAATGTATTCAAATAAAAACAGTTGTTTCAAATTGTAATATTTCACAATTACATTTTTTTTACAGCTTTTTTTCCCCCCCCAAATAAATGCAGCCTTGGTGCAGAGACTTTTCAACTACATAAACATCTTATCATCCCCAAACTTTTGAACTGTAGTGTAGGTTATTATTAGTCAATTTCTATGACTGGTAGTTTTTAATATTCAAAGCAGACATTTTCTAACATTAACAGAAAGAGGACTTCATACCGTGCCTGTAGGTGTGCTGTGGCAGTCCTGTGCACACTTTGACTGTTCAGAGCATGTGTCTGTCTGGCAGCCCCCCCCAAATAAATGCAGCCTTGGTGCAGAGACTTTTCAACTACATAAACATCTTATCATCCCCAAACTTTTGAACTGTAGTGTAGGTTATTATTAGTCAATTTCCATGACTGGTAGTTTTTAATATTCAAAGCAGACATTTTCTAACATTAACAGAAAGAGGACTTCATACCGTGCCTGTAGGTGTGCTGTGGCAGTCCTGTGCACACTTTGACTGTTCAGAGCATACCAAGAAGAGGGAGTGGTCACGGTGAAACAACCAAACATTTAGTATCTCTGAAAAGCCCTGAATGTGCTCTCTACAGGACATCCAGACTTCAAACTGTGGCATGTACAGTCTCAGAGAAATTCACTCAAATATAATGTCCTCATATGAGGATGCAGGGTCTCAGGAGGTTAGGATGATTTCTGAAGAAACACGCGACACCGAAGACTGCAGTAATGATGCTGAAAATTCAGCTTTGCATCACAGGAATACATTACATTTTAAAATACATTCACAAAGAAAACTATTTTCATGTTTTATAACCGTTTTAACTATTTTTGATTACATAAATGCAGCCTTGGTGAAAAACTTTTCAAAAACATTAATTTTTTTACCAACCTCATTTTTGAACTGTAGATTTCCTTAATTTTAGTGTAGACAAATGTCCCGCCAGTTATTCCTGTGGAGTGACTCAATTCATTTCTAAATCGGGATTCTTGAAAGTATAGCTAATCAGAACCCCAAACACACTTTTTAAACTTGAAAGTTCTAATAAACAAAACGCTTTTTCCTTCTGTAATATGACCAATTTCTGAGTCCAGCAAGACATTAAATGAGAAACTTATTTTTTTTAATTGGGAAGTGTCTTTATATCTCTATGAAAAAGTCTACGACAGATGGTTGGAGACTTGTTAAACTAATTGTTCAAAAAAAAAAAAAAACCAAAATATGCATTAAGAGTAAACGGGGTCAATTCTGACTGCATGTTTAATGAAAATGAACTTGCACTGGGTTCAGCCTGCTTCAGTTTGACAAAACGGTGTTAACTCACAACCAGATTCGTCGCTTCCATCCCTGCAGTCTTCAGAGCCGTCACAGCGCCAGGCTTTCGGAACACACTGTGTGTTAGAGGCGCATGGCCACTGGAACTCACCACACTGTGCTGGAGTCTCCTTACAGTTCTGTCTCACGTGGGAAAGGTGGTCAAAACTCTTTAATCATTTTATAATGTATGATAATGTGCTTTTGGTCATTTAATGCATGGATTTCCTAACACACCTTCTCATCTGTGCCATCCTTGCAGTCCATCTCTCCGTCACATATCCACTCGTCCAGCAGACACTCCTGGCTCTTTGGACAGCGGCGCTGCGTGCTGCATGGCGGAGGTTCAACGCAGTCCTCCTCGTCTGAATGATCTCTGCAGTCCGGGTGTCCATCACAGCGCATACGGACCGAAACGCACTGACCGCTGCTGCACAGCCATTCAGCACTGCTGCAGCTCTCCTCACCTGCAGGCCAGGACGGGTCATTCCATTATGATGAAAATCAATGTTTTTACGTCATAACCTTGCTGTTGCTCTCTACTGTTAAGCTGATCTCAGACATGCAGAAACATTATGCATAATGGACCAGTGTTATTTTAGTATGTTTTATATACTAAAATAGTATTCAACATTTTGAATTAGATTTAATTTATATTTCCAGTTTTCATTTTAATTTAAGTAATTTATGTGCGTGTCACTTTTATTTCTTTGCCGTTTTAGTAATTTAATCATTTTATTTCAATTAGTCGTCAAGGTGACATTTCTAATTTTATTTTCTTCATCTAAAATTAATTGTATTTAATTTATGCTGTAATTCAATTCATAAGAATTATGAGAGTAGTTTGTTAACAACAACACTGCAATGGACAAAAAAAAAAAAAAAAAAAAAA